ACCTACGACTGTGTCTTTGCTTCTGTCTGTGTGTACACGTTTTCCCATGAACAAACAGACATACAGACAGATATTCCATTGTCTATTCATCTTGTTCCAGGAACTTGTTTCAAACAGCCTACAAGACGCCATGCATTGGTTTTGTTTGCCTACATTATTTTAGCTTCTACCATTTGTTTTGCTTCATTGCGACAAACTAATCAAGTTTCTTTACGACGACCGAGCTGGAACCAACATTGTTTTCAGTTAACACATAGCTTTCATTGCATGCGTTCCAACGCTAACCACTTTGTCTACAAGCAACGTCTTTAATTACAACGGCGTCACACATCGGCTAACGTCAACAGCGTCGGCGAAACGGCGTCGGCGTCAGGGAAGCAAGCCAGATTAAATCATTGGTTTAAGATGACAATCAAAAACTTAAAAGCAATCATTATGGTTTGCCTACAAAAGCTTGGCAATATTCGTACAAGGCTTTATTTCTCCAAGGATGGCGAGCCACACAAACACTTGCGCGGTTTAATTGGTCTGTCTCGAGACAACGCTTTGAATTCTACTGCTAAGTCCCCTAACAGTTTGGCTTATAAATAACTGATGTTAAGCCACGAAGAAGAAAATGTCATATAAAATAATCAATAGGTCGAACATGTCATCTTTCCAAGAATATTTCAATTTATATTATCTGAGAATATATCTTGGCAGATGTCTCTTGTCGTCAATGCAAGATGGCCAATAACAAGCCACAGAAGCCGTTTCAATCATAGCAGACACTGTTCCGAAAAAGAAAGGATTTTCGTGTTTATTGTTTTATTTCGATGAATTATTAAAGAAATGGTAAGAAAATAATTCTGTGCAATATAACATTACATCATATCAAGTATTACTTTCTGTTGACCCACATAGAGTTTCTGTCACGGGGCGTTGACACTTTTTCGTCGCTTTTAGCAACATTCAAGGAATATCGCAAGGGGGACACCAGAAAGAGCTTCATACATTGTACTCATGTGAAGAATCGAACCTGGTTCTTCGGCGTGACGGGCGAACGCTTTAACCATTAGACTAACCAATCCCCCGTTACGGCTCGTTACGGCATGTCTAGTCGCCGGGGATATACTGTTCACGGCACACAATGTCGCCAATCGTCACATAGTATCACCGGCGACCCTATATGCTGGTGTTGCAGTGATTTGAAAGGCCATGCGTATGATATATTTTTAGATGACTCAGGATGTTGTTAATGCGTTACATTAATTTTCATTTGCCACCAGTTTACTGTTATTAGATGTAATTGTCACTTCTGTAAGAATGGATTTGATCTTAAAACCGTTTTTATATGGAAATACAAATTTAACTGAAGATGTTAATAAACAACCAGGAACCAGAAATGTTTTATCTTATGAAGTGTGATATGCAAGTGATGCTCTAGTTTCACATCTACAGACCGCTGTATAATTCTTTATCTGTGACCTTTTGGTTTTGGTTTTGGTTTGTTGTTTTACGCTGCACTCCGCAATATTCCAGCTATATGACGGCGGTCTGTAAATAATCGAGTCTGGACCAGACAATCCAGTGATTTACATCATGAACATCGATCCACGCAATTGGGATCGATGACATGCATCAACCAAGTCAGCGAGCCAGACCACCCGATCCCGTTAGTCGCCTTTTACGACAAGCATAGTCACCCTTTACGGCAAGCATGGGTTGCTGAAGACCTATTCTACCCCGGATCTTCACGGGTGACACTTTGGAATGTCTATGTACATGTATATATTTATCTATATGACACTTATCTGAATACTATTTCTATTTTGCTAAGTATGTTCACTGTAATAATCTGTACAGAGCACGATGTAATTTATATAGGGGGAGGTATTTATGCATGGCAAACCTTGTTTATAAATCCCCATCCACTATACATATGATTGTAGCAACATAATATGTTTCAATTATATATGCCGAAACAGCCGTGTGCGTCTGAATGAGTAAGAGACAGATAGAGACAGGCAGACAGCGGACGACTATATAAACTACCCCCACCTCCCATGATCATCATCATGATCAACATGACCATCATCATCAACAACATCGTCATCTGCAAGTTTAATGTTTGGCTCTGAGGAATTCCGACATTATGTGCAGTTACCCTCGGCATATATTGTAGCCTGAGACAATATATGCCCGGCGACAATATATGCCGTAACAAGGCTACTTGGTTTACTGACTTTTTGCCAATAAATGCAAGGTCGGTTGTAGAAAAAAAAATCAAAATTTCCTTTCTTAATAAAACGATTCTGAAAATAATTGTCATAAAAACTGAAATAATTAAAAAAGAATATGGAAACATATGCGTATGTTTTTAAAAATAGAAGCGTGTGTTCGCCTCCAATGCCGACCAACTGAAACGTGTAGAGAACTACTTGGCCGGCAGATAATTAAACCAAGTACTGTACTTACAAACACACCGTGTCACTTTGGTATAGGTCCTAAGCGACCCATGCTTGCCGTAAAAGGCGACTATGCTTGTGGTAAGAGGCGACTAACGGGATCCAGTGCTTGTACTCTCGCTGACTTGGCTGATGCGTGTCATCGTATCCCAATTGCCTGGATCGATGCTCAAGATGTTCTTCACTGGATTGTCTGGTCCAGAATCTATTATTTACAGACCGCCGTCGCATAGCTGGAATATTGCTGAGCGCGGCGTTAAACAACAAACAATGAATCAACCAATACATACAAACATACTTTGTCACTTACAAACATGCCGTGTCACTTTGTCACTTACAAATACTTTGGTCACTTTGTAACTCACAACATACCGTCTTCAGTTTGTTGCTTGTATATATTCATTAGCGTACACTTCTATTGTACTTCTATCAAACATAATGACACGGAAATAAAGACAGGCGTCAAATATTATAAACGGAACAATTCAATACAATTTAATCCGAGAATTTAGAGATTTATATGAATACAAGTTGAAGCAGATTATTCACTAAAGTGAATACAAAATAAGGAAGTCATGATACATAATGTTGAATAATGCGGAGGACGTTGAGTGACGCCCGTGCACGTTGCCGAGAGAGATGTGTGATAGTGATTGTCACACTGAAGGTGAGGCTAGAACACAGAGAGGCGCCGATATCATAGCGTGTTGAGTTATGATGACCGGGGTTTTCTTAAGAGCATATTGGAAGGAATGGTGTTCAAATAGTCTCTGATTATCATTGTAGCATGCTAAAAGCAAGATGTCACAAACCACTTCGAGGGCATATGATCTGGACCAGCTAGAGTGGAGTGTTTTCGCAGCAAAGGTGACATAAAAGCTTCGGTAATTGTCATAATTACTGCGACAGGAAGATGTCAGTGAAGGTCACATGGCCACCTCTGTCTAGTCAAAGCGTCTTCAAAGAAAGGCTGCATCGTTTAAAACTTTTAAACATGTTAACAACACCTTATGGTTGGACGAACATTGAGAAACACCGGGAAGAGCATTTGGGTGTGTCATCATCTTAATAACAAGACGTTCCGAGTTTGTAGTTTTCTCAGTTTCATCAAATGTCCAAGACCCTGAAGTCTCCTACAAACCCTAGAGCATATTTTTGTGTGTCAAACAATCACCCCCAATCCCATTTCGTTCACTTCTCAGTCCCATCAGCCATCATCCCATTTTCCAATTATGAGACTTGAGGGTTCCTGAATACTCGATGGTTGATTTACAGATTTAGTTTTAGCTAACCTTATCAATAATCATATTTTTCAGGGACTAGTATCAGTCTACCCTGGTCCAAACCGCCTCCGTGGTCTAGTGGTAGAGCGTCCGCCCGGAGAGCGGAAGGTCCAGGGTTCGATCCCGGGCCGCGTCATACAAAAAGACGTTAAAAGATTGTACTTGTTGTTACCCTGTCTGGCGCTCGGCATTAAGGGGCTAAAACAAGGACTGGTCGGCTCGGAGTCAGTATACTGTGTCTGAGTGGGGTATTCATGTTAAACTGCGGCATGGTATCTCAGTGAGCTAGCACTATAAATCGGCTTCAGTCCGGACTAGTACAAGCAGCCACACACACACATACACGTGCATGCACGTCGCTATATAAGTGCAATAATCTTGGACGCGACGTTAAACCCAATTTCACCTCACCTCACCTACCCTGGTCCACCAAGCGATCTCTGACGGGTGTATTCGGCTTATCCCGTTATACCTACGAGACAAGCCGAGCGAAAGCGAGCTTAATGCTTCAATTGTCGATGTATCCTTTGTACAAACGCAGAATTCATCCTTCCTAAGTGCTCCTCTCCTTCCTATTATGACGTTATAATTTATTCATTGTTTATTTCAATTATTACTTATTCTTTGTTTCAATCATTACAAGTATATAGATTATATAATAATTTGATATTTTTTGGTACATTTGCGCTCGTAAGCCTGACAAGGCCAGACTTTGCTAGTTTTATGTTACTATAATGACTTTTATACACTGTAAATGCAAAGTGTGGCAATCAAACAATATTTTATTCTTCTTTCATACTCGCCACAGACAAATGACGGTCGTTTGTATTAAGACTCTTTGTGGAATAGGCCCCTTAGGCTATTGGGCCAGCTAAATTAAGAGCTATGAAAGGTAAACACAATGAGGCAAATAAACAGTGGGACACTCGTAATTGAATGAGGATTGCATATGACCAAAAACATTCCCGCGCATTTGTACTTTCGCAAATTTAATTACAGTTGATTGAAACATAGATGTCACAGTTGGAGACACGTGTTCGGTAACAAAGATCGGATTAAGTATTTCTTTTGTCATTAAACAATAATGCTAGACGATTTTATCTCCTAACAATTTATTTACGATATCTCACGTTTTCATGGGTATGTATATCACTGGGTGGTGTGAGGGTGAAAGTCGTACTACCTTTCTCAGATATTGACACCGGTCGGCGAGTGACCTTCACAGGCAAAGAGTAAGGTGGCGACAGGGACGTCGTGCGATGTCGTGACGATGTTGTCGCTGTCGTGTGAAATAACCAGTATTGTGACAGATGGGATTGGGTCGTCTGCCGTTGTGCGACCCAGTCATGTTTCCCGCGCTCCGTCTTCCAAGACCCGCGAAAATACCGACAGGGTGTCAACGCTGCACACCGTATCTTTCGCCGTCGCTTTGTCCTCGGCTGCCGACATGGGAAATCACGGATTTTGTCGAAACATATGTCAGTTTGTAGTATTCTGATGGATTAAGAAAGTCGCCAAAGACGTAGAAAGCGCCATATGCCGCAATGAAATCTGCGCAGACGACATTAGCCGTGGCCGAACACCGGCGGTGCAAAATTGCAAATCTGGAAGCGCTAATTTGGAAACAAATTAGTTGTAGGAAGATATGATTTCGTAGGTTTAATCTAAAGTTGGCGACACGTCCTGATTGGATATTGAATCTCCGACATCGCTTGAATGCGGAGAGCTCTGAAGCAGGAAGCAATAACCATAGTCGCAAGACTCTACTATCTGAGATTTGTTAGTATTCTTTAATATGTACAGACAATGTAGCGGCCCAGAACGGTACTTCTGAATTCAGGATCATTCACAGCTTTACTTGGATTCTTTACATCTCTTACTGCGTCTGCTGGTCCCACATCTACTTCTACGTTAACCTTTCAGTCTGCTACATTAACAACTACATCTACTACGTCTGCTACTACATCAACTATATCTCCGTCTGCTGCTACATCAACTATATTTACGACTGCTACTACATCAACTATATCTACTACGTCTGCTGCTACATCAACTATATCTACGTCTACTGCTACATCAACTATATCTACTACGTCTGCTACTACATCTACGACTGCTACTACAGCAACTATATTCATGAACACACAATGTCATTTGGAAAATGGTCAAATGTAACAAATGTTAAATGTACTTTCTTTGTAAAGTACAGATTCTCGTACTTTTGGGGGTTGAGTCCCGACCGGGATTCGAACTACTCCTGTTGTACATCAACTATATCTACGTCTGCTACTACAGCAACTATATCTACGTCTGCTACTACATCAACTATATCTACGTCTGCTACTACATCAACTATATCTACGTCTGCTACTACAGCAACTATATCTACGTCTGCTACTACATCAACTATATCTACGTCTGCTACTACATCAACTATATCTACGTCTGCTACTACAGCAACTATATCTACGTCTGCTACTACATCAACTATATCTACGTCTGCTACTACAGCAACTATATCTACGTCTGCTACTACATCAACTATATCTACGTCTGCTACTACATCAACTATATCTACGTCTGCTACTACAGCAACTATATCTACGTCTGCTACTACAGCAACTATATCTACGTCTGCTACTACATTAACAATATCTACGTCTGCTAGTACACCAACTATATCTTCGTCTGCTACTACAGCAACTATATCTACGTCTGCTACTACAGCAACTATATCTTCGTCTGCTACTACAGCAACTATATCTTCGTCTGCTACTACAGCAACTATATCTTCGTCTGCTACTACACCAACTATATCATCGTCTGCTACTACAGCAACTATATCTTCGTCTGCTACTACAGCAACTATATCTTCGTCTGCTACTACAGCAACTATATCTTCGTCTGCTACTGCACCAACTATATCTACGTCTGCTACTACAGCAACTATATCTTCCTCTGCTACTACAGCAACTATATCTTCGTCTGCTACTACAGCAACTATATCTACGTCTGCTACTACAGCAACTATATCTTCGTCTGCTACTACAGCAACTATATCTTCGTCTGCTACTACACCAACTATATCTTCGTCTGCTACTACAGCAACTATATCTTCGTCTGCTACTACAGCAACTATATCTTCGTCTGCTACTACAGCAACTATATCTTCGTCTGCTACTACAGCAACTATATCTTCGTCTGCTACTACAGCAACTATATCTTCGTCTGCTACTACACCAACTATATATACGTCTGCTTCTACAGCAACTATATCTTCGTCTGCTACTACAGCAATTATATCTTCGTCTGCTACTACAGCAACTATATCTTCGTCTGCTACTACAGCAACTATATCTTCGTCTGCTACTACAGCAACTATATCTTCGTCTGCTACTACAGCAACTATATCTTCGTCTGCTACTACAGCAACTATATCTTCGTCTGCTACTACACCAACTATATATACGTCTGCTTCTACAGCAACTATATCTTCGTCTGCTACTACAGCAATTATATCTTCGTCTGCTACTACAGCAACTATATCTTCGTCTGCTACTACAGCAACTATATCTACGTCTGCTTCTACAGCAACTATATCTACGTCTGCTACTACAGCAACTATATCTTCGTCTGCTACTACAGCAACTATATCTTCGTCTGCTACTACAGCAACTATATCTTCGTCTGCTACTACAGCAACTATATCTTCGTCTGCTACTACACCAACTATATCTACGTCTGCTTCTACAGCAACTATATCTACGTCTGCTACTACAGCAACTATATCTTCGTCTGCTACTACAGCAACTATATCTTCGTCTGCTACTACAGCAACTATATCTACGTCTGCTACATCATCTTTATCTACATCTACTTCTACATCAACAATGTCTATACCTGTTACTACGTCCACTATTACATCAACTATATACACGTCTGCTACTGCATCCACATCCATATCCACAACTACAACTACAACTAATTTTACGACTGCTACTACAACTACTTCAATTACCCTGCATCATGCCTGATAACTACATCATCCCCAACATCTACACCTTGATCTACGGCCATCTTCTTCTTGTTGTTTTTTTATCCCCTGCAAGTTGGCGGGGGCTATAGAAACGGGCTCCGTACGTCCGTACGTCCGTCCGTCACGTTTCGTTTCCGGAGCATAACTCATAAACCGTTTAATATTTTTTCATGAAACTTTGCAGGTTTGTCAGGTACATGCTGAACTGGTGCCTTTTGCTATTTAGAAATTGTAGAAATTTATATTTTTTACGTTTCCATGGCAACAAGATGGATTTAGGTTCCAAACTCTTCTTTTTTTTACAATTTCCATGACAGGTTCCACCTCGGTTAAAAAAGGTTAGTGTTTGTTTAGATTTAATTATGTCATAAATTCTGCAACAGGGGCGGGGATATAGCCACGTTAGTGGCAAACTCTTGTTACTTCGGAAATGTAGGACATCCGGCCCATAATTCACAAACATTTCACAAACAATATTTTGATGGAAGGTCCGCCCTGTTACATTCAATGCATTGCTATCAATATAAATGATCAATAAATGCTATTAAATCACATCATAGTGTTTCTCAATCCATTAGTATTCTCACATTAAACCATTAAATATGTATGCACCTAGTTTCCATGCATGATGGTTGTCACAAATTATCATGATACATACAACGTTAAAATGTCCTTTCACATATTGTCCCAGATCAACCTAAAATGTTCTTCATCTGCGATGACTTTCTTAGTAAAGATGTTTACAATATAAACATAATCTTCCTTCGTATAAAATATTTTCCCATCATCTACACTCAATACGTAAATTAAAATCCACCCAACGGAATTTACTAAATCATTTCTTAAATTACTGGCTGAATAATTACAAGACACTGTGCTTGTTGCCAAACAAATTTACACTGTGCACAGAATCTTAATTTTACTTTCCCATGTAGATTACAAAGCCAATTTTGACGTGATACATCTTTCATTCGTTGAGAAAAGAAACTAAAAATATTTCAGAGTTTCCAAAGCCCTGATTTAACCAAACGAATCCATACCTATGTTCAAACAAAATATTTCTAACAAATCCGACTTTTGTTTGCCTTCCGGCATTTTCAAGTGAGAACAAAATATGAAAACAAAAACAAATTCTATGGCAAGGCATGGACAACAAATTTTTTTTCATCCAAAACAGGCTCCCAAAGGAGATATGGCTTGGATTATATCAAGCGATATCTACACTGTAGATATCGCTGCAATGTAATTACATCACAATGCTTTGCAGACCATTGTGACGTCACTGGTTACCATGACGTCACAATCAAATGACATCACTAATGGCTCTGCTACTGAAGCTGTTAGCAGTACTTTTTACACTGAAGACACTGCTAATTACTGTCTACAAATTGAAAAAGTTGGAAGAATGATGTTAGATGATAAATAAAATCTCACCCTCGTGTCTTTTGATATCAAATATGTCAACACTCGTTGATAAAAGTGGCAAAAATCCTCGGCAAGCCTCGGAATTTTCCACTTTTATCAATATGATATCAAAAGACACTCGGGTGAGATTCTCTATATCCAGTATCATATACATTCCATAACATACAATAGATATGACGGGTACCTTCCTAATTCATCGAGTCCAGCATCATCACTTGTATGACTAGAAATGCCTGAAATTCGTTTACAGTTCGCTTCACTGCAACCACAACATGACCAATACCCCATAGTTCTCCCAAACCAGAAGCGTCAGCTGCTCATTGATGAACGGTGTTTAAAGTCTGTTCAATCATTATTGCACTGACAGCACGGTAGGAAATACAGACAATGGCCTTCACTTAATACCCCACTGGGAACCGAACCGGTTTGTGTCTGACGTGCTAACACACCCACCACTGAGCCACCCGCACTCCAATCAACGTGAATGATACATTATCTCAGCGGTGGCCTCTTATTCGGACTGCTGGTTAGACCGTATCATTGGTAACTGTAGGCGGGAATAATCGCCTGTTGTTGTCCGTTACCTGAATTGTTGGATAATAAATTATCGCTTTTAGCACGTGTTGTTTTGTCCGCCTGTGAGGGACGCCACGCTTGGACCTAACTGTGAGAGCTCTGGTTCGCGGTGGAAGAAATTGACAGTGTATGGAGCTGTCGCGACTTAAACAAGGGCCTATGTTCTCGTCCTTAAAACAAGACTAGGGGTCAGAGTTCAAGGGCAGCACAGTGAGTGAGTGAGTGAGTTGGGTTTAACGCCGCTTTTAACAGTATTCCAGTTATAACACGGCGTGTCAGCTTAATGTGGGAGGAAAGCCCGAAGTGATGCAGGTCTCAGACGTTTACCACTTCGGTCAATCCCACGAGCACGGGTATGGTGCTGACAAACCTAGAAACATAATCGGGGCGAACCGGGATTCGAACCCACAATCATAGGTTTCTGGCGTGGCCAAGGGACGCAACTCTGCACAGCGAATCGCGGCGCCTTAGACGACTGGGCCACCCGTTCCCCCGGCAGCACAGTGGAATATTAACATTGTGACTTTTGAGGATTTTAGAAACCCAAATCCACGTGATATGTTTACATTGGGGTCTTACTGGGACGACCTGGTAGATTTATTACAGATAGAATTGACTATTAATTCCTGTTACTAATCACATGCATACATCTCCATACACGTGGCTTTTTAATCCGGATATTCGTTATATGAATGTTGGCAATGGAATTTACGGTAGTTCGCTGTGAGTTATCATCACAGTTCTTGGCCTATCTTTTTGTTCAAAATGAAACTGTTGTCCTCAATGCAGAATGCAATAGACCACACGTATTGCTTAATAATTGTGACATATGTTTAGAGTGTTAGTAGTAGGCGACCTGATCATACTGATAGTATAGCTATATTCAGTATATAGTACAGCATATTGTATATAGTATAATCGGGATAGCGATAGCGAAATTGCTAGAAACTCACATTCGTAAGTACACATGAAGAAAATGAAATATTTGTCCTAATTACATATAGGCGATATTCTCACATAAAAACTAGACTTGGACACAGAGTGAGTGAGTGAGTTGGGTTTAACGCCGCTTTTAACAGTATTCCAGTTATAACACGGCGTGTCAGCTTAATGTGGGAGGAAAGCCCGAAGTGATGCAGGTCTCAGACGTTTACCACTTCTGTCAATCCCACGAGCACGGGTATGGTGCTGACAAACCTAGAAACATAATCGGGGCGAACCGGGATTCGAACCCACAATCATAGGTTTCTGGCATGTCCACTGGACGCAACATCGAATTGCGGTGCCTTAGACGACTGGGCCACCCGTGCCCCACATTTAGCCTCAGGATGTTTCAGCCACACGTAGATTGAAGTCTTTGGGCAAAGATGTTTAAAGCGATCTCAGTGCGTTCTATGTATGTTTAAACATAGACTTAAGATTATCGTAGCATTAAGGACCGTCTACGTGATCTAGTGGAAGAGAGTCCGCCCGGTGAAGATTCGGGGTTCGATCCCCGGCGGCGTCATACCAAGAGATGTTAAAAGACGGTACTTGTTGTTACCCTGCCTGGCGCTCGGCATTAAGGGACTAAAACAAGGAGTGGCCGTCTCGGAGTCGGTATACTGTGTCTGAGTGGGGTATTCATGTTACACTGCGGCATGGTATCTCAGTGAGCTAGCACTATACTAGTCCGGATTAGTACAACCAGCCACACACACACACACACACACACACACACACACGTGTTTGCACGTCGCTATATAAGTGCAATTATCTTGGACGCGACTTTAGCCCCATTTCACCTCACCACACAGTAGCATAAAGATCGCCTTGTGGACGGAACCAGGACAAAGAGATGCCATTGACATTCACATGTCGGCGCTACGCGGCAGCAGGCGATGACAAGCATATACACCCATTCTCTGCACTACACGTAAAACTATATTAGTTTTAAGTAACAAATGTTATATCTTGAGAAAACACTTTCTTAGTAAAACACAGATTCTAAAACTGGCATTGTGTGTTCTTAGCTTTCGGCATGCCAATTTACACTTGTCAGAGGGGTACACAAAGTACGTGATCTGGATTACCACTTGTCGGACTTTCATCTTTGTAAAAGCCTCGGTAGCTGAGAGGTTACATCGCTGACTTTGTGTGTTGGCGAATAGGTACCTCACTCACAGTATGGGTTCGAATCCCGGATTGGACTCGACCCCCCAAAAAGAACTAGAATCTGTACTTTACTAAGAAAGTGTTATCACAAAATATAACATTTGTTACATTTGACCACTTTCTAAACTGGCATTGTGTGTTCATATATTAGTTTTAACTGAACACGATTCAGCTTCAGCAAAATTGATTCATGATTCAGATTGGTTGATTGGTTGGTTTTTTAACGCCGCACTCAGCAATATTCCAGCTATATGACGGCGGTCTGTAAATAATCGAGTCTGGAGCAGATAACCCAGTGATTAATATCATGAGCATCGATCCACGCAATTGGGATCAATGACATGCATCAACCAAGTCAGCGAGCCAAACCACCCGATCCCGTTAGTCGCCTTTTACAACAAGCATAGTCACCTTTCACGGCAAGCATGGGTTGCTGAAGACCTATTCTACCCCGGAATCTTCACGGGTCTCATGATTCAGACTTGTTCAACTGACACTAACGTCCGTGTGGTGATTCCGGGAGAGAATATCTCTCCAGCAGCCCATGCTGGTCGTAAGAGGTGTCCCCGTGATCGGGCGGTGACTCGGTGACTTCGATGATTGCGCGACACCTACCACGACTGTTTGGACCGCTACTCACAATATCGATCACAGGATTGTCCGGTCCAAACTTGATTTGTATGACGCTGTCATATAACTAAAATATTGTGCGGCGTTGAACAACAAACTAACTTCGTGGTGTAAGAAACAGGATTCTAGGATAAGCTTCAACATTACAAAAAGAAATGTGCTACACGTGTTGTGGAACTTTGAATTTCACACAGAGGCAACACTGTGCGACAG